AAAAGTGAAAGCTCTTTCTTTGCTTAGTGCCATTTCATTTTCATCCCATCTCCCAAACAGTAGTTTTCTTAATAGCTGATGCACTAGAGGTCAGCCCGTTTGTTACAACCTGATATTGAGTGGTAAATTTTTAAATTGCCCGTTTTAAACCTTGCAGGTGATAGAGTCTGTGTTCCAGCAGGATAATCGAAGTCAAACAGGGTCCTTAGAGAACTTGTCAAAGAACGGTCTTGTAGGCAAAGGACAAGTCACGGCCATGGCCGCTCTCAAGGAGCTCCGAAAGATCAGCAACCTTTTATCTGAGATGTGATGTATTTATATGCTTATTCATTTAATTGTTTCTTATCTCCGAGTATCATAATAAATGGACTCCCTCCGGCTTTTCTTGTATCTAGTCAAATTTTTGGATATTATATGAAGTTGTGTAAATACAAATTTTCTGTTGAATAAAAATCAGACACCATTCTTCCAGGAGCTGTATGGGGAAACAATTGGGTTCAATGTCGATAAATGTAGTTTCGGTTTAGTTTGTTTTCCAGATGTTTTTATGTTTTTGGTGATAGATGTGGTGGAAATTGATTGAAGTAACCTTCCATAACCACAAAATTGGGCAAATGACCTTTGACTCAAAATATAAAAATAAACTTAATGAAAAATAACATAAAAAAAAACAATTACTAATACACCCTCACCTCACTTCTATCTTCTTCCAACTTAAAAAAGAAAAAAGACGTTGCTCCCTCTTCTTTACTCTCTTCAAAAAATCGTTGGCCCTCTCTCTCGCGTGCCCTATTTTCACAATTTCTCTGTCGCCATCGTTTTCTTCCTCGCCCTCTCTCAGGCAGTCATCGCCGATCGAGCACCCTTTCATCTTGTTGGAAACAAAACCAGAGGTATGGATTTTTTTTTTTTTATGCTTTTGTTTGTAATTTTTCTTGAAATAGATCCCATTGTTTGTGATTTCCCTTGAAATAGATCCCATTTAATTGTGTGAGAGAGGTTGCCTAAGTTGTGATTTTTTATCGCCGATCGCGTGCCCTGTTTGTAATTTTTTATGCTTTTGTTTGTGATTTTTTTAATGCTTTTTTTGTAATTTTTGTGATTTTTATGCCTTCTTTTAATCAATTTTTTATGCTTTTTTTATGCCATTTTTTTTTATTTTGTTTGTGAGTGAATGAAACAACAAATTTTCCAAGACTCGTGTTTGTGAAAGGTTGCCTAAGGTATGCACCAATGCCAATGGAATAATAACAACAAGCTGCCAAATATTGATTAGAACGATATTTTACCGTATGAGTACATCGTAAAGTTATTATGATGGAAGATATGTTACCGATTCTATATTTGATATATAATAGATTAGAACGATAATTCAAACTCGTTATAGTATCGAAATAATCATAACGAAACTCGTTTTATGAAATAACGATACTTGTTTCGTTTTAGAAATAGATAGATGAACTAATGAAGGTACCTTCGTGATTTTGAAACCATAACGAATGTACTCTCGTTATGGTTATTTTGAGGGAATGATATGTTACCGATTCTATATTCGATATATATTACATTATAACGATGGTTTAAACTCGTTATGGTATCGAAATACTTATTACGAAACTCATTTTATGAAATAACGAATCTTGTTTCGTTGTAGAATAGATAGATAATGAAGATTCGTTATACTAGTATATTCCATTGAAAATGAGTAAAATTATAACTAAAACGAGAGTAATGTCCTTATAATGTATTATATAACGTAGGTAAAACTATAACTACAATTTGAATCATTATTTCTTGTTTAATTGCAGGTTCTTGAGCTGGCTCAAAATGCAGCAAGGGATAATAAGAAGACAATAATTGTGCTTCGGCACATCCGCTGTGAGAAACGATGAGGCGGTCAGCAAACTTCTTGGTGACGTAACAATTGCCAATGGTGGAGTTATGCCCAACATTCACAATCTCTTACTCCTTAAGAAAGTTGGTGGTTCTTTGAAACGATGAAGATTATATGAAAGAGTCACATGACTATGGTAGCACCTGTAGTTCTTAATTCATGTTCCTTTTGATTTGAATGTTTTTTTAGGATGTTTAGGTGTGTTTGGCAGGGACTGATTTTGTTAGATCTTTGTTTGTAAATAAAATGAATGGCAGTCTGTTTCTGTTAGAATTGGTTCTCTTTTCCTTGTGATTTGGGGTAAATTGAATATTTCATCCACAAACTCTCGTTCTGCTTTGTTTGGTTGAATCCTTCTTCATTAGTTATGACGTCTGATATGTTTTTGTTCTCGAATGGCTATGACTGTATGAGCAATTAATCAACCAAAAATAATATTGTCTGATATGTTTTTGTTCTCGAATGGCTATGACTGTATATACAATTAATCAACCAAAAGTAATATTATAACTATAACGATGTACTATCATTCTATTGTGTTATATAATGAAGGTAGAATCGTTATAAGTCTTTTATCTAAATGGCTAAAAAAATTACTTTAACGAGCTCTCGGAATTAAGCTGAGGAACCGAGTGTCACGCCCGCGATAGGCGCTGCACCCGCGACGAGCCGACAATATAAAATGGAAAAAATCGGGCTTCTTTCTCACACGAGAGTACGTTTGTTATGAAAAATAACCATAACGAATGTACATTTGTTATTGTTATTTTTCGATCAAATACAACAACAGCGATTGTAACTTCGATAGATAATACATTATAAAGATATTACTCTCGTTATAGGTAAAATTTTAATTATTTTTTGTGTAAAATAACAAATGTACATTATCACGGTTTAAACTATTTTCGACACTATAATTATGTAAAATTTTAATTATTTTAATTATTTTCGATAACGGTTTAAACTATCGTTCCAATGTGCTCTATGATGAATATACAATCGTTAACACTCCATTCCATCAAAATAACCATAAGGAAGGTACGTTCGTTATGAAAAATAACCATAACGAATGTACAATCATTATAACGCCTGTACATTCGTTATGGTTATTTTTCGATCAAAAACACCTAAAACTCGTTATATAATCCATTATAAAGATATTACAATCGTTGTAGGTACAATTTTACTCATTTTTCATGTAAAATAAGGAATGTACAAAGATTATACATCATATATCTATTTTTCAAAAACAAAAAAACACAAGTATAGTTATTTAACAAAAAGAGTTTCGTGATGAGTATTTCAACGCTCTAACAGGTCAAAACTATCGTTCAAAGGTGATATATGACCTAGATACAATGTTTAACACGTCATTTCATAAAAAAAACAAAAAAACAAAACGAGAGTACTTTCATTAGGAATTTCACCATAACGAATGTACATTCGTTATGGTTCATTTTCAATCAAAAACACCTAAAACTCATTATATGATCCATTATAAAGATATTACACTCGTTGTAGGTACAATTTTACTCATTTTTCATGTAAAATAAGGAATGTACAAAGATTTTACATCATATATCTATTTTTCAAAAACAAAAAAAAAAAACACAAGTATAGTTATTTAACAAAAAGAGTTTCGTGATGAGTATTTCAACGCTCTAACGGGTCCAAACTATCATTCAAAGGTGATGTATGACCATGATAGAATGTTTAACACGTCATTCCATAAAAAAAAATCAAAACGATAGCACTTTCGTTAAGATTTTCACCATAACGAATGTACATTCGTATTATGGTTCTTTTTCGATCAAAAACACCTAAAACTCGTTATATAATCCATTATAAAGATATTACACTCGTTGTAGGTATAATTTTACTCATTTTTCATGTAAAATAAGGAATGTACAAAGATTTTACATCATATATCTATTTTTCAGAAACAAAAAAACACAAGTATAGTTATTTAACAAAAAGAGTTTCGTGATGAGTATTTCAACGCTCTAACAGGTCAAAACTATCGTTCAAAGGTGATATATGACCTAGATACAATGTTTAACACGTCATTTCATAAAAAAAAACAAAAACAAAACGAGAGTACTTTCATTAGGAATTTCACCATAACGAATGTACATTCGTTATGGTTCATTTTCGATCAAAAACACCTAAAACTCATTACATAATCTATTATAAAGATATTACACTCATTGTAGGTACATTTTTACTCATTTTTCATGTAAAATAAGGAATGTACAAAGATTTTACATGATCTATCCATTTTTCAAAAAAAAATAAAAAAATAAGTATAGTTATTTCACAAAAAGAGTTTCGTTATGAGTATTTCCACGCTCTAACGGGTCCAAACTATCGTTCAAATGTGATATATGACCAAGATACAATGTTTAACACGTCATTCCATAAAAAAAACCAAAACGAGAGCACTTTCGTTAGGAATTTCACTACACGAATGTTCGTTATGCACGAATGTAATGTACATTCGTTATGGTTCTTTTTCGATCAAAAGCACCTAAAACTCGTTATATAATCCATTATAAAGATATTACACTCGTGGTAGGTACAATTTTACTCATTTTTCATGTAAAATAAGGAATGTACAAAGATTTTACATCATATATCTATTTTTCAGAAACAAAAAAACACAAGTATAGTTATTTAACAAAAAGAGTTTCGTGATGAGTATTTCAACGCTCTAACAGGTCAAAACTATCGTTCAAAGGTGATATATGACCTAGATACAATGTTTAACACGTCATTTCATAAAAAAAAACAAAAACAAAACGAGAGTACTTTCATTAGGAATTTCACCATAACGAATGTACATTCGTTATGGTTCATTTTCGATCAAAAACACCTAAAACTCATTACATAATCTATTATAAAGATATTACACTCATTGTAGGTACATTTTTACTCATTTTTCATGTAAAATAAGGAATGTACAAAGATTTTACATGATCTATCCATTTTTTTTTTTAAAAAAAAAAACAAGTATAGTTATTTCACAAAAAGAGTTTCGTTATGAGTATTTCGACGCTCTAACAGGTCCAAACTATCATTCAAAGGTGATGTATGACCAAGATAGAATGTTTAACACGTCATTCCATCAAAAATAATTAAAACGATAGCACTTTCGTCAGGAATTTCACCATAACGAATGTACATTCGTTATGGTTCTTTTTAGATCAAAAATACCTAAAACTCGTTATATAATCCATTATAACGATATTACACTCGTTGTAGGTACAATTTTACTCATTTTTCATGTAAAATAAGGAATGTACAAAGATTTTACATGATCCATTTTTCAATTAAAAAAAAAACAAGTATAGTTATTTCACAAAAAGGGTTTCGTTATGAGTATTTCGACGCCCTAACGGGTCCAAACTATCGTTCAAAGGTGATATATGACCAAGATACAATGTTTAACACGTCATTACATTAAAAAAAAAACCAAAACGAGAGCACTTTCGTTAGGAATTTCACCATAATGAATGTACACTCGTTATGGTTCTTTTTCAATAAAAAACACCTAAAACTCGTTATATTATATATTATAAAGATATTACACTCGTTGTAGGTACAATTTTACTCATTTTTCATGTAAAATAAGGAATGTACAAAGATTTTACATGATCTATCCATTTTTCAAAAAAAAAAAAATAAAACAAGTGTGGTTATTTCAAAAAAAAAAAAGAGTTTCGTGATGAGTGTTTTGATGCTTTAACAACTTCAAACTATAGTTCCAATGACATGTAACATGAATATACAATCGTTATCAAGGAATTCGATCAAAAAAACCATAAAAAATGCGCATTTGTTACCAAAAACAACCATAACGAATGTACATTCGTTATGGTTGTTTTTCGACCAAATCAACTTTAAACGACCGTGCATTCGCCATGTAATGCATTATAAAAATATTAAACTTTTTATATATCTAATTTTATTCATTTTTCATGGAAAATAATGATTGTACAGAGATTTTACATGATCTTTCCATTTTTCAAATAAAAAAAACCAAGTATTGTTATTTCAAAAAAAGAGTTCCGTTATGAGTCTTTCGACGCTCTAACACCTTCAAACTATCGTTCCAATAACATGTAACATGAATATACAATCGTTATCAAGTGATTCGATCTCAAAAACCATAAAGAAAGCGCGTTTGTTAAGAAAAACAACCATAACGAAAGTACATTTGTTATGGTTGTTTTTCGACCAAATCCACCTTAAACGATTGTGCATTCGTCATATAAGCCATTATAGAGATAATAAACTCGTTATAGGTCTAATATTAGCCATTTTTNTCTCTATCTGTCAACTCTTTTTGCTTTCCTCCTTCTCTCGCTACCTTCTCTCTCTCGATGCTCTCGGCTCAAATCTCACGCTCTCTCGGCTCTCTCTCATGCTCTCTCGGCTCTCTCTCTCAACTGTCTCATGGAACTCTCTATTGTCAATGTTGGTAAGAATTTCTTAGGGTTCCATTTTTTTTCAGTTTTTCTTAATTTTTTTTTTGGTAAGGGTATAATGATGTTGAACCCTTTGTGTTTATAATTATTTTCCAAGCATGCTAGATTTATTAAGTTGAAGAAGAAAAATGAGTTCATGTGTTATGTGTTAATTGAAGAAGAAAAATGAGTTTATTTGTTATGTGTTAATTGAAGAAGAAGAATGATGTTGAAGAAGAATATTTTGATATTGTGGTTTAAAGAGATGACAGTGGGGTTAGTTTGTTGAAATGCTTGTAGGATTAACAAATCTTACCTCTTTTACCAATAGCAGATTACCTAAATTCGCCTTCAAATTCTTCCACACTGTATTTCTGGAAATGGTAGTGTTTGTATGGTTCAGAATTTCAAACAGAACATACATGTGTATGTGTGTGTTTGACCCTGTGTGTACTTTATGGGACAGAAGACAACATGAATTATTTGACACCACAAATTTAATATATCTCTATCAGGTGGAATTGAAATCCAAATAGGAAGTCCTATTCTACTCTTACTTTGGACGCCCTCTTAAACTAAAGCCACCATGGAGAAGTATTTTCATTGGTTAATGCACATTGATAGCAAAATTAGTAGGAAACAAATTATAGACCCACTGAAATATAAAAGTTCAAGGCAATGCCTAGGGTACCAAAGGAGCCTAACAGTTGAACATAGAGGATTGGATTTCTTGGTTATATATTACATTATCTTATTATATTTATTTAAAATAAGTTTATGCAGTTTTGAACTGCAGCTCTAAAATACCCAGTTGGGTTATATTAAAGGATTATGCCACTATTTTAAGTACTTATTGCTTGTTTGATCTATTATGACTTATGTTGTCTTTCTTTTCTGCTTTTAGGAACCAAAAATGAATATGCGTTTGATATACCTTCCAAATGCAAAGCAATCGTGACCAATCGGTGCAACCTCAAAGTTGTCAGAAAAGTATTTGACAATCTAGACGATGCACATAAAGATCGATTTTTAGAGTCTTGCTTCCGGCCACTAATAAATATTCCTGAGATCATATTGTCCTCGCAAATAGTCCACCAAGTACTTCGTAGAACATTGAAAGCGTCCGAAAATGACAAAGATGCCGTGTGTTTCAGATTTGGGGAAAAAGAAGCTAGATTCGGGTCACAAGAGTTTTGTCTTGTAACCGGATTTAAGATTGTGGCGGATGATGAAAATGCGTACGAGGTCCCCAAAAATAACAGTTCGCTTTTGCAACTGTTCAAGAAGAAGCGGGGGAAGATCAAACGCAGTGACTTACTCGAGAAATTTCATACGCTGGATAATGAGAAAGAAGCGGAGACGAAGTACACATTGGGACTCGTGACGGTCTTGGAGCATGTTGTTTTGTCAGCAGAGTGCGAAACTCTTGTAGATGAAGGATGGTTTAATTTAGTTGAAGATTTAGAAAAATTCAACAGTTATCCTTGGGGCAACTTGTCGTATCAGCAAACTGTAAAGTTGTTCAAGCGGACCTCTTTCGGGAAGGGAAAAAATCCACAGTCCATAAACTATTCTTTGCATGGATTTCCCATGGCTATTATGGTACTTTTCATCTAAATCTATATTTATGTTATTTATTATTTATTTGTGTTAGTTGTATTTTTAATTATGCTGTCTTATTTGCTAAGCAGATTTGGGCATTTGAGGCGCTACCCGACTTAGGAAGAGAATTTGCTGAAATAAATATTGGTGTCCTATTTCCAAGAATGTACTATTGGAAAATGAAGAAACAGTTGCGAGGCGAGCTGCTTACTACTTTTTTCGACAGAGTGGAGGTAATTTTGGTTATAGATTATTCTTCTTAGTTATTGTTATACTTACACTTTTAAAAAACTAATTATATTACAATCAGATTCAAGTTCGACGAACGTTGGAACCCTCTTCATATGAATTTGAGTCTTCGTATTTGAACGAATTGGGTATAATTGTCGAGGAAGAAGATAGTGTCCGTCAAGATGAGGATGAAGAAGACACTGCGACTAAAGATGATAGAGAAGGCAGTGCATCTTCTAAAGTTGATGATGATGATGATGTGGATGATGAGGAAGAAAAAGAAGAAGAAGAAGAAGAAGAAGAAGAAGAAGAAGAAGAAGAAGAAGAAGAAGAAGATGATGCGTCTCAACCTGAAGATGCACCACAACCTCATGTTTTGGATGAAGGAAAGATCGCAAATATAGTGAGGAAAGTGGTGAAGGACAAGGTGAGAAAAGTGGTGAAGGAGGAGATGAACAATTTGTTTGAGAGAATGAAGAATGAGTTTTTTGAAGCAAAAGATAAACCATCTAGCCGTGCTACTTATGATGTGCCAAATGATGATCCGGATGTTGAGGTGGAGAAAAATGTGAGGGATACGGAGACTGTTGAATGTGGTAAAGTTATTTTATTTAAATCAATGCATCATGTTAATGTTATTACTCGATTATTAGTTAAAATAAATAGGACAAATTATTGTAATATTTTTTGTAGTAAAAAATATATTTTAAAACAAATGCAACATATTATTGAATTATTTAATTTTTTTTCTATTTCGCAGACACGATGAAATCACCATCTCCGATGTCCGAGCAAGAAATGGCTGGACTTCATGGATTTGATACGGGTATGTGAAGTATAATTGTAACTACTACATAATTTGATGGTGCATTCTTGTAAATAAATGAGTATTGATTGTTTTTTTGCTTATTGTAGGTTTTGTGACAGACCCGTCATCAGCCGTTGTTGTGTACCAAGAGAGACAACTGCCGACACCAATCGAGATAGAGGAAACCATTGAAGATCTTGAGTCTCCTAAGGGGAGAGGGCACCGAAAGAAAAGAAAGGCCGCCGTTCTATGTACTCCGTGGAGGAATGTTGAAAAAAGAAAAAAAAAATTCAACTGTGACGGAGTACGACCCTTATAGGCCAGTGGATCCAGCTAAGCTTGAAGATCTCCAAACGTGGTTGTCGAACTCCCCTAAAAGGTATGTAATTGTGTTAAGTTAATTGTGGGCTACTTATCGTAATATATAAGGTTGTATGTCTTTGTTTAATGGTATTGACTTTTTATGTAGTGCTGAAGTTGAGTTGTCCTCTGGTGGTCCAGCACGTAAAGTTTTTTTTAATCATCTTGTGAACGATGGATGGCTTACTAATGAGGTAAACTATTTACAAAATTTTTTTCAATATTTTTACCTTTGAAAAATATGATATTCACTAATCTAATAAACACTATATTCTTAGCATGTAGATGAAGTGCTTTTTCACATTCGAGAGCGTAGTAAACAGTTCCCTCTCTTGTTTAGACAAGATTGTGCTGTCTTGGACACGTTTTTTGTCTCGTACATGAGAAGCTTCTTCAAAGACATGTCGAAGACTAAAAAATTTCCGAAGGCCTTGTGTAGATAAACTGCAAGGGAGATACCCAATAATGGAAAGCCGTGGACTGGTTGTACAAAATTGTATGTTCCTTCCTGCAAAGAGGGCGATGGCCACTGGCTCGCACTGGAGATTGATCTATCCCAGAGATGCATTTATGTCTACGATAGCGAAACAAGTGTCATGCGGAGGGCAGAACTGGAGAGACAACTTGAGCCCATTCGAGTTGTCGTACCGATGCTACTGGCGCAGCTGAATGCCAAGTACAGTGGTGAAAAGTTTGAGTACAAATGGTTGACATCTCCTAGCCAAAGCAATGGGTACGTATAATATATATTTTGATCATATTAGGTTTTTAAGTGTACTATGAAACTTGGTAAAGTAATAGAATTTGTACATTTATGTTGCAGGTTTGATTGTGGGATTTTTACTATCAAGTTTATAGAATTTTTGCATGCTGGGAAGAATGTTGAAGGCGTAGATCAATCTCGGATTAGTGCTTGGCGTGTTAAACTAGCGTCTGAAAGATTTGGTGCTCATTTTGATTCACAGTTTGTTTTAAACATTCAATATGTAACGGGTTGTAGGGATCTTTTGGATAATACATTTTTCTATTATTTTTCATGTGTCTTTCAATACAATGATGCGGGTGGTCGATTTTTGAAGTTGTATTTTTTACGTACTTGCCAATGCAGTGGTTATAATAGTATTTTATCAAAATGGTTAAAAAATATTACTGTAACCATAAGTTTTAATGTAATAAATAACGAGGGGTTCGATGCCGAGCTCCCGAATATAAATCGAGAAAACGATTACAAGTCGTTTCAAATATAACAAATGTACATTAGTTATATTGTACAAAATAACTAATGTACATTCGTTAGTTTGAAAAAGAAAAATTGAGTATCGTCGCGGCCGCGACGTTGACATTCATCATATTTTCATGCATTATGAGTGATATATTGTGATATTTGGCCATGGTTATCGTGTGATTGTGCACCATTTTGTTTTATTTATTAATCTATGATAGAGGTGCTTCTGTCATTAGTTTTGCAGGAAATATGCCCGGAAAAGCGTTGGAAATGGAATCGGGGCGAAAAACGGCGAGAACGGGTACAGAAGAGGTCACACGACTCGTGTGGATGGTGACACGGGTCGTGTGAGTTGAGAAAATAACAGACGCAGCTCCGGCTTTTTCACACGGGTCGTGTAGATTGAGACACGGGTCGTGTGACCTCACACGACTCGTTTGACCCGGTCGTGTGACCAGTCATGTGAGTCTGGAAGTTCGCCGAAAGGTTGAGAAAAGTCACACGACTCGTGTGGCATGTGACACGACTCGTGTGACGCGCATACCAGATCTGCGGGGAGTAGGATTCTTGTGCGATTTCTTCCCTTTTTCGACCCTGAATGACCCTACAGTATAAAAGAAGCCTTAGGAACTCGTTTTTGGGACTTTTGACACCATTGGAGGCCGGGAGAAAGCACGAAACACACGAGGGATTCGAGGAAGTGAAGATTGAAGATTCGGGAACTAACGGCGACAATAGTTCTTCTTTCTTTTCTCTTTTTATTTTTCATTGAACTCATGGATTTATCTATTTTGAGTATTGAGAATATGTTTAGTAGCTAAACCTTTTAGAGATTCTAGGATTTGCGAGTACTCGGATTGGTTTATGATTTAGTTTTTATTTATTTCATTCCGGTTTATCTTTCGTTTGTGAATTTCTTTTGCTTATTATTATTGTGTGAGTAGATGGCCACTATGAATGCAAATTTGTGATCGATTTGAGACCGAGAGGAGATAATTGATTGCTAGAATTGGGAATTTTATAACATAAGAGAATAAACAGACCGAGAGGTTGATAGGACCTTGCGAGAGAATGAAAATCCTAGGAACTTATGGGAGTTAGTTGTTCATCTTGAGACCGAGAGGAGATAGATAACAATTAATATCTACGATTTGACTTGTTCGAGAGAAAGGTTTGAAATCAATTTAGCGATTATCTATACGATTGGTAAAATTAAATAAGGTTTGTTTGTATATAAACGATTCATGAACTAATTCCGAGGAACGCTTAGCCTAGAATCTATCGTTTGTATCTTATTTTATTTTTATTTTTTAGATATATTAGTTTTTAGTTTAATTCTTAGTTTATAATCATCATTCAATTCACTAGTCTAGATAATATTTAATCGTCATTATTTTAGTACTTAATTAATTTAACTACAATCTCTGTGGAATACGACCTTGCTCGCCACTACCTATAGCTACTTCGTACACTTGCGGATAGCGAAAATACTTAGCGAACAAGTTTTTGGCGCCGTTGCCGGGGATTGTGTGTTAAATTGATTAATATTAGAAGAAGACGAATAGATATTAGTTTAGACATTTTTATTTTATTATTTTTTATTTTATCTTTCTTATTCTCTTTTATGATATTTTCCTATTCTTCTTTGTTTCTTGCGAGATGGCGTTTAATAGCTACCAATGGCCGGTGGAGCAGACGATGTTTAATAGAGTGTCGACGACTACCAATACAGACCAAATTTCGGAGTTGGCGGCTCAAATAGCCACATTGGTGCTTAACGGCATGCAAGGGGTCAAGAACGAGAATGTCGGGGTGAATGCGGTGTCAATGTATGAACCCGTCCAGGACGTGAATTATTTGCATGACCAGAATTACGACAATTTCTGGGGATATCAAGGAGGTAACACGTACTATTCGGGCAACCAGAACTATCCTAATTTCTCGTACACCGATCCATACAATGCTCTACAACCGCCATTGGAATTTTCAGTGACCAATGGGGTCATCAATGAGCTGAAGAAGTCGGCACTCGAAGAAGCGTTCGCCTCATTCATGAGTACCACAGAAACATTTATGACTCAGACACAAAAAGTCATGAACGAACCGAAGAAGGAGTCATTTGAGGATACGTTCGCCAGGGTCATGAGTAACATGGACAAGTTGATAGCTGAAAATGAGGCTCGGGCTGCTTTGTTGGCGAATCGAATGAAGTCGATGGGGCAGCACTTGGGGCAAATGATCGCGATGGTCGAGAGTCAACAACAAGAGGAGCAATTTTTAAGTCATACGGAGATCAACCCACAGGATTGCAAAGCCGAAGATGCTCAAGAGATGATAGAGGAAGTCTTAACAGAGATGAATGTGCATGAGCAAGAGGAAAAGAGACCAAGGGTCGAGATGGTTGTGGTTGATTCAGACGAGAAGATGGAGAGTTCGATTGAGGCTCATGAGGTGGTTACACTCAAGGAGAAGAGTAGTGCACTACTACAAAAAGACCGTCCCGTTAAGTGCGAAGATCCCGGTGGATTTTATATCGATTGCGGAGTTGGAGACTTATATACCGGAAAAGGGCTTTGCGACTTGGGGGCGGGCATCAACTTGATGCCACTCTCTGTTTTCGAGAAGTTGATATTGGAAAAGCTTCAACCGACTATGATCACTCTTCAAATGGCGGATAAATCCCAAGTTCGTCCCATGGGAATTGTAGAGGATGTTTGTTTGACGGTCGATGGAATTAAGTTTCCGACAGATTTTGTGGTGATAGATATGAAGGATAACGGTGATACACCGTTGATTTTAGGAAGGCCATTCCTAGCCACCGAACGAGTACTTATTGACATGGAGCTTAGTGAGATCACTTTTCGAGCCTATGATGAATGCCAGACTTTTACACTTGCTCGGGGTTGGAAAATTCAAGGGCCAAAAGATGGTAGCCGACGCCATGAGAAGATCAAGGAGGAGATTGGGATGAACGGGAATGACCCTTAGTGAGAGCTCGGAAGACGTCTAGTTAAAGACGTTAAATTAAGCGCTTGTTGGGAGGCAACCCATCGATTATCGTTTTTATTTTATTTTTCTTTATTTTTTTTATTTATTTTCCTTTTTTTATTTTATTTTTTTTTATTATTATTATTTTTAAAAAATCTGGAAAAATAAAAAAAAAAGTGAAAAAAAAAAATGGTGGTGATCGAGTGTTGGAGCGAAGCATGGAGGAGATGATCGTGGTCAAGGGTGCAAGGATTGCTTACGTTGGAGCTCGCTCGGCTTTTCGGTTAGTTACTTGGGATATGCCATTTATTTTCTTCATACTTAATTCTTTTCCAAAGAATAAGTTTGGGGGAGAGAGGTGTCGTATATCTTGAGTTTTTATCGCTTTATTGCATATCACATATTTGCTTGCATTAGTTTTATTTTTTTTTATGATTTTTTTATGCTATTTTATCTTTTTAGAATGCACGTTTACTTGCTTTAGTAGGATATAATAAGAATTTGCTTGAGTCGATTCCTTGTGTATTTCTTGTGTTTTGGCTGAATGATGGATAAAACGTGAATGGTGAATGGTAATTTGATGTGACTGAGAAATTGTGATGGGATTGTAAAAGTCATGCTTAGATGAAAATACTTGTGAACCTTGAATTAATGATATAATAAGCCTAGTGAGACTTGAGCCTTTATTCCTTGTCTGTGTGTGTCAATTGAATATCCGTGTTATTAGAATTTGCATTGATTCTACACTTGAAAAAATGCATTGGTGATCGTGAGCTTTAAAAATGGTTTAGGCGGTTCTTGAATTTAGCTCGTTTGGCCTTGTTCCTTGTCCTTAAAATTATTTTTCACTAGTAGCCCGTTTGAGCCTTAAGCCTTTTTCTTGTCGATCGGTTTATCTTATTTATTTTGAGAGTTGACTATTGTTTGGGATGTATGGGGATAACGGAGTTATTTATTGGATGATTGGATATGGAATGAGGTGTGATTGAGTTGCATTTACTGTGTTTGACCGAAAAAAAAAGAAGAAGAAAATAAGAATGATAATAAAGAGAGCTCACAAGTCGAATTGTTGGAATTCTACTCCTCTTACTAGTTGATTTATTTTGACGGGTAATGAGTAATGGGAAACCACTCTAGGACACTTGGATGACCTCCAATGTTTAGACCTAGAGAATATTGTTCTTGCAGTTTGATTTTGTTTGGAAAAAAATGGAACTCTCTAAAAAAAAAAGAAAATAAAAAGAAAAAAAAAGGGAGAAAAATGGTCTAGTACTTCCTTTGTAATTTGATTTGAGCATTTGAGTTGTGTATGGATTATTTTGGTATGGGATTGAGAAACGCTTTATGATTGATTAGAGAGGATAGTGGGGTATGTCGAGTAGTTTATTTACTCGAATGGTATGATTGTTTATTTGAGCCACTTAACCCATATATATCTTACCCTTGACCAAATAGCCTACATTACAACCTGAAAAGACCTTTTGATTTAAAGCTCATGATTATTGGTTGTGTTTGAAGTAGAGTTTTAGATGATTGGCAAACATATAGTTAGCTGGGTGTTCAATGTGACTTGAGCGTGTCCTTCTCTTTTATATATTGATGACATGCGAGTGAGGCATTTATATATCCCTATTTGAGAGTTCGTTCATTCAAGGTGGATACAAGTTAATAGTCAAAGCATGATAATTATGATCTTTTGAATTTTTCTTGGTTGCATTGAAGGACTTGAAGCTGTTCTAGTTTGATATC